ATACTCTTATCAATATTTTTTCCTTAAAATAAAAAAAATATAATATTCATATATTTTATAATTTTATATTGTATTTGATATATTAAATAATATTATAATGTGAAAAGAATATATATATATATATATATATATAGAGAGAGAGAGAGAGAGAGTCAAAAAAAATTAGAATCAATCCTTACTATAATACTTAAATAATTATAATAAAATTATCATAGAAACTCAATAATTCGACTCAAATTTTTTAAACTCAACTCGAGTCTAAAAAATTTTAAGTTAAGTTCGAGTTGTAAAATACAACTCGTCAACTCGAACTTTTTTAACTTGACTCGAATCGACATGATTGAATGTTAACATTATAAATAAAATTAAATTGAGATGATCATCTCATAATAGACTTATGTAATATTTAATTTTAATTAATCGACTAATAAATTAAATTCTAAAAAATATAAAAAATCCACGTTATACATAGATTACTTTATCAAATATAAGGACCGAAGATTACTTTATCCGTCAACAAAGTAGCTTTTCGTGAAAAGGGAAAATTGATTCATATATGATGTTTACATGTTGTATTATTTATTTTAATAATTTTTAATTATTTAATAATGAATATATATATCTTGAGATCTCTAATATTCGATCCTATAATCTCTAAAAATAACACACAATCATTTAAATATTAAAATAATCTAATTCCTATAAGTTAGTTTCCGGTTTTTCAGAATAAATATATATATTTGTTTACGGAATCATATTAAACAATATAAAATGAATTGGAGTATGTCAGTCCCGCACCCTAACGTGCCGTTGATTCCAATTCAAGTATAAACTCATATTAACATCATCAAGCCTAGAACTACCAAATCTACACAACTTGACTCTAACAACCACTTTTATACTATTTACAATTACATCAGCGAGCGAGACGAGCCTCTAAAGAGCCTATGATTACGCTCTTCCCAGACAAAATACAACAGACCAGTCCAAGCGAGCTTCAGGATACGAACTCTGAGGGATTTACCCTTCAAATTTGCAATCAACCAATTAAAATATCTTCCCACTTGTACAGGTCATAACGAACATTGCAAGAAGTTAGAACAATACCCCAAACTTTCTTTGCAAAAGAGCATTTAGCAAAAAGGTGATCTCGAGATTCAATGCCAGAGCCACACAAACCACAGACATTACCAATAGCCAAACCAAAACGGACAAGCCTATCTTTAGTAGACAGCCTATCGAGAATGACCATCCACGAGATAAGAGAGAATTTAGGGATGTGAGCAGGGAACCATATCAGTCTGTGCCAGTTTACCTTCGCCCTGCAATCCCAGATATTATCCCAGATCCATTTACCTTTAATAAGACTCCAGTTGGCACAAGGGATAAATAACCATCTAGCCTCCTCACGCATACTCAAAAGCTTGCTCAGGATCCAACTAAAGTGAGCTTTGCACTCAACATCCCAAAAGCTAAATGTTTTGAGACAGTATTCTTTGATCAAGGCAATCCAAAGAGAGCCTTCATTAGCCAATATGTTTTTTATAAGGAGCAAACAACAAGCTTTATTCCAGACCACAAGGCTTCGAAGACCCAATCCACCATCAGACTTCAAGGAGCAGATCTGGCTCCATCCCACTCGAGCTCCTTTTGGTGATGAATCACAACCCTTCCAGAAGAAACGCATACAAAGGCGTTCAATATCCCTAATAATTCCCTTGGGCAAAACCAGCTGCCTACTCCAATAGTTAAAAATGTTGAATAGAATATTTAATCGATTGGAGCCTACCACCATAACTCAAGTTCTTGTTAGACCAAAGCCTGAGCTTATCCTTAATCTTTGTCAAAAGTGCTTCGTAGTCTTTGCCTGTGAGCTTACGGGTCACCAGAGGTACCCTAAGATACCTCACATGAAGCTGTCACAACCTAAACCCAGTAGCCAAACTGATCTGCTCCAGGTCAAGCATATTCAAACCACAAGCATACAGTTCTGTCTTTTGAGCATTCATTTTAAGGCCAGAAAGATATAAAACTTATCTAAAGTGCTTTGCACTCCCAACACAACATCCAAAAAGCCATGATAAAAAACAAGCAGATCATCCGCAAAGCAAAGACGAGTGAGAGATATTTTTCTACACTTAGGATTAAACTTAAAGATACCATGATTTGCAGCAACATCTAAGAGAGATGATAGAACATTCATGACTATAACAAATAGGTAAGAAGATAAAGGGTCTCATTGCCTAATCCCCCTAGCTCCTTTGAAATACCCCACCAAGCTACCATTTAAAGAAAGAAAGAACATAGGGGTAGTAATACATGCCTTAATCCAATTACAGAAAGTATTAGGGAGCCCCATAGCAGCAAGCACATTCAACAAGAAATCCCAACTAACAGAGTCAAAAGCCTTCTGTAAATCAATTTTGACTGCACATCTATGAGAAAGGCTCTTCCTAGAGTAGCCTTTAACAATTTCCTGGGCTAGCAAGGTGTTATCAACAATGTTTCTACCCTTGACAAAGGCTGACTGACTAAGAGATATCATACCAGAAAAGAAAGGGGCAAGTCTGTTAACTATAATTCTTGTGATAGTTTTATAAACTACTGAACAACAAGAAATAGGCCTGAATTCTTTAGCTAGTCATGCATTAAGAGATTTAGGGACCAAAACAATGGCAGTGACATTGAATGCAGGCAGAAAACAGGAGGACTGGAAAAAATACCTCACAGCAGAAGTGAAATCAGCACCTACAATGTCCCAGGCAGCCTTGAAAAACCCAGAGGTGCACCCATCAGGGCCTGGGCTCTTGTCCTTACCTTGCTTAAACAGGGCCTCCTTAATCTCCATATCACTCACTTCTCTAGTTAAAAAAATAGCAGCTCCTTCTGGCAGGGAGTAGTTTAACATGTCTTTCAGATCCTCAACAGATCTGCTCTTGACAAGAGGGTCCTCAACACCAATCAGATTAGTGAAAAAACTCACTAACTCAGCAACCATGCCCTCAAAAGTGTCATAAAATTGACCATCTTCTCCTTTAAGTACTCTAATGGTATTCTTTTTCTTATTGGATTCTACCCTCAGATGAAAGAATTTAGTATTGAGATCTCCCTCATTCAACCAATGCATCTTAGCCTTCTGTCTGTAGAACTCAGACTCAGCTACTTCCAAGTTTACAAGCTTATCATAAATTCTTTTCTCCTCATCAATTCTCCTCTGCTCAACATGAGTCAGATTAAAAATATGAATTTGCTCCAGTTCAGATCTTTTACCCTTCACTCTACCTGTAATATCAGAAAAAATCCTTATTAAGCTCTTTTAAGAGAGGCTTAAGCCTTTTCAATTTGCTGAACAGAACTTGCATGGCAGAACCTGCACAGTGCACTTGCCATGAGTCTTTGACAATACTCTGGAATTTATCATGTGAGGCCCAACAATTAAAGAACTTAAAAGGCCTAGGCTTCTTTATGAAAACACCTTTATGTGTCCATAATAGTTCAAGGCAATGATCAGAGACTCCTTGTGCTTTGAATTCCACAAAAGACTCAGGGTAATCCAACAACCACTGAGGATTAACCAAAATCCTATCTAGCTTCTGAGCTAAAAAAGAACCTTCATGCCTATTTGACCATGTGAAGGTAGGCCCAAGGAAAGGATGGTCCATCAAGTCAAGCTCCTCCAAACAGTCCTGTAACTCTTTCATGTCAGAGGAATTGTGAACTCCCATAACCTCAAAGTCTGAACTTTCCTCAGCTCTGGCAATTATGTTGAAGTCCCCACCAATCACCCAAGGAGATGAGCCAAGATCATTCTCAACAGTCCTCAAATGCTCCCAAAGACCTCTTCTAGTAACACCATTATTGCTTCCATAAACAGCAGTTATAACAGTTCTAAGACCATCAATAGTGCCAATAATTTAGGTGATATTTAGTTTATTAAATAATATCATAAATTTTAATTACACATAAATAAATAAATATGAATATCTTATATGATAAGAGGAAATTGTTTAAATTAGAATTAATTCATATCATAATTTTATAAATATTATAATTAAATTTGAAAATAAATTTAAAAATTTAATAGAACTCAAATTTTATAAAATTCGACCAAAAATAAAAAGTACATAATAAATAATAAAATATAATTCATCAACTCAATTACTTTAGGTTTAATAGTGCATTATTTCTTACACAAACTGCCAATTGTCTTTCTTCCGAAGAAGCATAAAAACCCAGTAATTGAATAAAGCCCACAATAGTAGGTGAGCTTGGAGGAAGCTCAGCTGCTCAGGCAAACAACATTTGCTTTTAGATTCAACAATGACTCAAATCAAAATTTTGATTCTTTAAATAATACATTTATTTGTTTATTTTATTATTTTCCTGTCGCTTGGAACCTACCTTATTTAATTTATTATTACTTTATTTAAAATTTTAATTTCGTACTATTCTTCTATCAAATTCTGTCATTAACCTCTGAATGATATACAAATTATAGATTTAATACATGTATTTTAATTCGATTAATTTTAATTTTATATTTTTTGAATTTTAAATCTTCCAATCCATCCAAACAACACATGAAAAATATAATCAAACTTTAAGACTTAAAATGATTAAATTAAAGAATAAGAATTAAATGTTAAATTTACATATAATACATGGATTAATAAGTAATAACAATATTCGACCTAACATATTTTATCACTATTATTTGAGACTATTTAAATTAATTTTATTAGGAAATTAGATTATTCCCATTGAATTATTGTTATGATTTTTTTTTACATTTAAATAAATAAAATGAAACTAATATTTTTCTCTTTAAATTTAAAACAATATATACTAAATAATTCAACTATCAAATTGGACCAGGTCCAAGTCAAAAAGGGCGGGGACCTGAAATTTCTTATGAGATGGGGGAAAATCCGACTCGACCCAATTGCCAAATCAATATATCATTTACCATTTCCAGTACATGGTACTGCATAGAACACGCTTTTACCAGAGATTCGAGGGAAAGTAAGAAGAGATGGCGAAGCGTTTGGGAATGAGTCGGGACACCGGCAGAGGCAGGAAAGGGTGGTCGTTGACCGCCGCCGTCGATAACATCTTCGAATTTTTCCGATTGGCAGAGTTCGAGATCCTTTTTTTCCTCTTCCTCATCATCGCTTTCCTCATCTTCAAAGATCTCGTAAGTTTCTTTCTAATTTATGGCTCTCAATCAGTTTTCAATTCTGATGTAACAAAAGTTGAATTGATTGTGTTTGAACACTAGTTTTCTGCTGCAAAATCAATATGATGACGAAATCAATCTCAATCCTTCGTTTAAGTTAAAATTCAAATAAATGGATTCGATATTTGATGAAAATTGTGGATCCTATTGGATGTGTGTTATGTTGCAGACATCACGGCCTGAATACAACCAGCTGCTCGTAAAGAAGCCCGGCGGTGTGGACCTATGGCCGTACTAGGACTCAGATAAAAGTGGAAAGTGGGTAAATCTGCTGCATAACTGCATTCCTAATGGTTACTTAGATGTTTAAGGCTTGGTTTGATACCTGAAACAGGGGTAGCTTTGTTTTCTGTTTGGATACTTTGGTGTGGATGAGTTCAATTTATTGAATTCCTAGGAGCCCCTCCTGGCTTGAAACTTGATTGGGAATTGCTTTCTTTCCTTCTTTGTCATGTATATTTATGTCTATAACTTTTTATTAAGTAAAGATATATAAAAGATAAATATCAGAATTCGAATTCATATAAGATGATACAATATGAATATTCTTAATTTAATCATTCGTCCTTTTAATAAATCTAAATTCGATCATACATGTTGGTAATGAAATAAAAATCAATATATGGTTATTTGAAGAATAAATAGGTATTCTACAAAGCATATGCATCATCATTGAAATAGATGTCTCATTTGCACACTGGTAGTGACATTAACATCGACAATTTGACATAGATGCCTCATTTGTATTATCCCTTGAATTTGCATTCTACAAAGCATATGCATCATCATTGAAATAGATGTCTCATTTGCACACTGGTAGTGACATTAACATCGACAATTTGACATAGATGTCTCATTTGTATTATCCCTTGAATTTGCATTCTACAAAGCATATCCATCATCATTGAAATAGATGTCTCATTTGCACACTGGTAGTGACATTAACATCGACAATTTGACATAGGTATTCGCACTTGTATGTAGGCAGGTGCAATTACATTTATATAAGATTTCGTACAAGGGTGTAACTTGGCCTAGGCCTATCTAGGTCATGGCTGCGTTATCCCAAAAAAGAGTTAATTATTTATTCAGTCATCCATTTATTATTTTGTTTCTGTCATTATTTTTTTTAAATTATACTTAATGTTATATTTTGGTTTTGTTTTGGTCACTTGTCTTTAAAATATTAGTGGTGATGTTGACGTATCATCATAAGATAATGACACATCATGATTGAAAATAATTTAAAAATGTCATATTAACATCATTCTTAATTTTTTTAATGGTAGGTGAATAAAATAGAACCAAATCATAAGGTTGACTATGATTTTGAAAAGAAATAATAGTTAAGTGACTAAAATATAAATTAAATAATATGTGAGGTGACGAAATAGTTAGTTTAACCTAAATAAAAAATGTATAAATTATGTTAAGAAAATTATATTAGTTCAATTAATATAGTTTTTTCCAGATTTAATCCCTATATATATATTTGTTATTATAGTTTTAAATTAAATATATATATATATATATATATATATATATATATATTTTAGATAAAAAATTTATTATGTTTATATTGGTTCCACCTACCATTATTGCGTAGGCATCAATGTTAATAACATCATTGGTATAAAATGGTTAGCAAGCACTACAGCCGTGCAAATTTTCAAGAATTATAATTTTATTTCACCATAATTATTTAAATCATAATGTCTATTTTGACTCATATACTAAAATAAAATTCTCATTCTACTATTATTAATATTTGAGGTAGGCCAAGTTTCAAGGACACTCTAGTTGTGTACCAACAATAGGAGCCTCATGATACGCTGTTGATTTTTGAATGGCGAAATATGCACCATTGTCAATCCACTTGGTCCATAAGGCCGATTAATGTACCAGCCCTTTCTGGTTAAACTTAAGGTAATCCATCATTTTAACTTACAATAGAATAAGGTGGTGTTTGTTTTTAAATCTCAGTATTGCAAAATTCTTTTAAGTTAAAAAAACAGTTTATTTATATTTCAGTTTATTTTAGCAGTCTGCAGACGTTAAAAAATAAACAGTCTTCTTCTTGCAGACTGCAGACTTTTGGCCCACCTCTTCTGCTGTAGATGCCTGCAGATGTGGTCCGCAGACTGCATACCTTTTATCTCTGCAAAAACAAACACCGCCCAAGTGTCAAATTAGCCTAACAAATGAGCTTCATTCCTTTTTAGGGTAAACTATATGTTTAGTACGCAAATTATCAGTTTTATTTTGTTTTAGTACTTATACTTTCATTTGTTTCAAAATCATACTAAACATTTACTTTTTATTCCATTTTAGTACCCAGTTGTTAAAAAGTTAACGACATTGCATTTTTTATGGGTAAATTACATCATTCACCATTCAATTATCTTCTCAATCCTATTTTGATCACTAGTGTAATTTTTTTTAATTTAACTACTTAGCTTTTAAATTACTCATGTTTTAATCACTCTAATTTATTTTATTAATAATGTTATGATATCACATTTTTTATTATTATTTTATTAATATATAATTATAATTAAAAATAAATCTGAAAGTTAGAGTGTTTAAATTAATAGTAATATGAGCTTTAAGTAATTAAAATAAAATAATATAAACAAAACGTTTTTAAAAAAGGTGCTACATACAACAATCCTGTTAAGTTTTTAATGGTGAGGTACCATAACGAAACAAAAAGTAAATATTAGATATGATTTTGAAACAAATAAAAGTTTAGGTACTAAAATGAAATAAAATTGATAATTTAGGTGCTAAATATATAGTTTACCATTCATTTTAAACAAGCCAAAGTATAAGTTAAAAGAATAACCTAACCCTTAGGCTACAATTGGTTAGGATTTATTCCATAAATTGATTCGTCTTCATAAAGAAGACATGAAGTGTTAAATAAATCACCCTTTCATCTGAAGTTAATTGCACAAGAAGTCCCCAAATTGGCTCTTAAACTATTAATCATTTTATATTAGTCCTTAAATTATAAACTATCATTCCTGGTTGATCCTTCTATTAATGTATCATTGATTCTACTGGTTAAAAACAATATATTTTAAAGGTCATAAAATTGAACCTAAAAATCTTTGAGGACCTTAAAAAACATATTAATTTCTTCAAAAGATTGCAAGTTGAATTCTTATGACCTATACAATTAGCTCTGTGGAAGTAAAAGTTCAATTTATGTATTAACTCTTTGAAATCCTATGACAAAGTTCATCTAAAACTAAAAAAAAAAATCCTAGCTACAAAGATAACATTTCTCATGTCCATATTCTATGGAATGAGGTCTACATATTTAGTGCACCTCTGTTGATTACACTAGTCATATAAGAACAAATACAAGGGTAAATTGCACAAATGGTCACTAAAGTTTCAGTTTTTGTTTTTCCCATTGTAAGTTTCAAAAATAATAAATTGATCACGGATGTTATTGATTTATAACAAATTGGTCAATATTATCAATTTATAACAAATGGATCATTTGCCGTTAACATTCGTTAACGTGGGTGACAAAATGCGGGTGTGGCATGTTAAACTAATTTGTTTAGCACTGTTTTACAATGATGGATGAAAATTGACCAACTTTTGACTCATTCTTACCTCTTCTATATTTACCTTTCCCCCCCTCTTTTTCTCCTTTCTCCCTGCCATTAGAGATCTTAGAGAAAAGCTTTAATGCAAGAGGAAAAAAATTAAATGTTTGATCCTTAATTTAAAATTATTGGAGATGGAAAGGAAACATGAACTTATGTAAGAGAAAATATATAAGCACAAGTTGTACTTGCAATATTTGTTCTATAGGCCTATCCATGAGAATTATTCCAACAGGATTTTGTGCTTGTTGAACGAAATAAAATCAGTCAAGTCACAGTTCACACAAGATATAAAGCGTTCTTATTGGAAACTTAAGAAAGCAACAAATAAAACACATATTTCATAGAAAATTTCGTTAACATTGGATGTTGTAGTTTCCTTGAAGAAAAGACGAGTCTCCTGAGCATAAGTTTGTGCTTTCTGAGTTACCTAGGAGAATAACAAGACAAATTAGCAAGCATGCATGTTGAAGTCAAAACAAAACTGAAGCATGAAACCTTTTACCATCTATAAGAGAGAGTTCTCTTGAAATGCCAAAAATTATAAAACTCCTAGAAGTCATTCTACCCTCAAATTGATGCTCAAAATGACTGATTAACAGTTATACTGTTTATTTTTTTAAGGTAAAGGTGAAGAAGTAGAATCCATAACTTACATCTGCTGCCACCTTCTTTGCATCAAGTAAATCATCTTTGTTCCCAGTAAGTGTCATTACCATATTAGAATTACCTTCAGAGATATAGGGAAAAAGAAAAAAGAAATTCAAATAAAAAAAAAATATTATTCAGTAACCATTGCACTTAAATAAACATGTTATGAGGATAAAAATAAGAGAATAAACAATAGTCATTGTCTTTGAGTAACAGAAAATGATACCTTACGCTTAAAGTTCTTGGACCCATTTTTTTGGCTCTCTCAAATGATGCCTACAAGATAACAAAAATGCCATTACAATGTAAGGAACTATATATCACTCAAATCTCTATACTATATAAAAAAAGGGAATATTCAACAAGTATTCTTGATAGAGCCATCAACCAGACAACATTGCAAAGACCATGAAAATAGACCTTGATTATGTGCTCCCAAAGTATTAATGTTTTATTGCCCAGTGTCAAAATTAATGTAAGAGCCAGTTAGTGTTAAATAACCAAAACAAATAGCGAGGACATCGGTGAGGCATCATAAACTTACGTGATTTGTCATATTATACACAATGATTGCAGACACAGCTCCTCTGTAATACATTGGTGCCAATTTATGGTACCTCTCTTGACCAAGTGTATCCCAAATTTCAAACTTTACAGTTGTATCATTCACAGCCAACGTCTGGGAGAAAAAACCTGCACCTATGATTGATTCCAACATCATTATAACATAAATGTCAAAAGTTCTCGTTCTTAGGGGTATTCAATCGGTCGGTTCGGTTAACCGATTGAACCGAAGTACTCAAATTTCATTAACTGAAAATTTTTCGAAATTTTTAACCGAACCGAACAAAATTCGGTTAATTCGGTCGTTTAACCGAAATTTAGTATAATTTTTTATGCATAAATAATTCAGCAATTATAAGAAACACTAATACAATTATAAAGTTGTATACATTCCAGCCTCCATACATCAATAATTCAACAATTATCATAATTCAAATCAACATGAACATTCATAAACCAAGTTATATAAAACACTAATACAATTATATAAACATCACCAACCGTCTTCAGTCTTCAAAATGCTTCATTTGCATTGATTGAATCTTCCCAAAAAATCATCATTTGCATTATCACTACAAAACATATACTATA